GCATTTAAAAATTTAATGTGAAGTTCTAGTGCTTGAAAGTTATTATTACAAACTATTGAGGATAATTAAGAATTGCAGGTTAGTAGTTAGTCACGTATAACAATCAAACTTATAGCCAGGTTAGGTATGTTTTCAAGGTCAAACATGTATTTTAGATAGCCAGATGATCTTCAAATACTTCAATGATCTACAGAATATGGCATTTGAGATATTTTAATAACATAAGGCTTTTCATGACAGTGAGCTACATCTGTTCCTGGCAGCACCAATTTACTTCAGAGAAGATGATGGGCATTGAAGAACCTCCATATGGAGTTTGCTTTCATTTGTGGCAAAGTTAGCCATTGGGCAAGAAGCTGCCCTTGTTGACTGTTGACATCATGCTGCCCAAACTGGACAAACAGGACACAAAAGAAAGGACTGCCCAACTTTGCCAAGACAAAGTAGGACAGTCCTTCAAAATTCCTGCTTCACAGAAAAGTCTGTCAGACATTCTAGGCTGAAAAGATGGATGCCCCATTAACTTAGGTGACTGTCCAGGCAGCCAGATGTCTCTATTATTTCTATAGTTTTAGAAGTTGTTTGTTCTGTATTTCCTGCTTATAGATAATATTTCATCCATCCTTCTCTGGTCTCTGATGGGATTGAAGACTAGATAGTTATACCATTTTCTTTGTTACCAATTTCAGAAAAGGAACTTACAAAAGAGATGTAAAAGTTGAGAGATATAAAAGCTTAAGTAGTTTATCTAAGAAAATGTTTTAAGGTCTAAAAAGATACTTTTAGGATAGCAATACAAGTTATGATAAAAAGTGGTTTAGGTATAAAACTGTGGACTCATCAAGATAAGATAGATAATAATTTCTCCAAATCTGCCAAATACAAATGGACTGGACATTATGAATGTAGTTCTTACCTGATAATTGTTCTTATTGTATATAGTTTTACTGTGATAGAGTTAAATCCTTTCCTTTTTATTTAGACAAAAAGGGGGAAATTTGATCATACTTTGACAGTCCAAGACTGTCAATAAAGTTAGCCTTGAATCAGGAGGTGGAGTCAACAACTAGCTAACCGGAATTAGCCATAGAGATTTTGGAGAACACAGGATACAAAACAACAGAGAGGTATAGGAAGGAATAAGAAGGGGCTTAGAAAGGTTCAGGGGCCTTTCAATCTGGGAAGCCTGGAGATCAGGGTCAGCTGGTCACTCTTCTGCTGCTTTCCTGATCTATCAGGTTTTTACCCCAATATCTGACTCCTGAGTTTTTATTAATGATAAAACAATTTAGATAAACACTTCAGTGCCTGTGAGGACCAGAAGAAGGGATTGGATCCTCTGGAATTGGAGTTACAGTTGGCTGTGAGCCACCATATGACTGCTGTAAACTGAACTCAGATCTTCTGCAAGAGCAAACAGTGCCCTTAACCACTGAGCCACCTCTTCAACCCCATTTATTACTTTTCATAAGAATATACAAAACAGTGACTGAGGATGTAGTTCAGTGGGAAAGCATTTCCCAGCATGCACAAAGCATTGAATCTGATTTCCAGCAAATAACTCACACACTATCTCTCTCCCTTTCTCTCTCTCTCTCCCTTCCCTCCCT